AGACACACACGGACAGACACACACGGACAGACACACACAGACAGACACACACAGACAGACACACAGACAGACACACAGACAGACAGACAGACAGACAGACAGACAGACAGACAGACAGCCAGGCAGGCAGGCAGCCAGGCAGGCAGGCAGGCAGGCAGGCAGGCAGGCAGGCAGGCAGGCAGGCAGGCAGACAGACAGACAGACAGAGAGAGACACGCACGCACACAGAGTCACACGCAGAGTTTTGCGCACAAACGCACTGACGTTGGCTTCAAAACACTGCAGCGACGTCACAGCATTTAGCGGGCCCTTGCTTTGAGACCGTGGGCCTCAAGGATCTCCAATGTGATCGCTACGAGTAGTTAGGGTGTGGGGCTTTTGGGGGCAGCTGGCTGCGTTTGAATACCTGCCACCTCCCGATCTTCTGGATTGCTCGCTTGCGATTGCTTCCAGGTTGCCGCCTGTGCCCACCGAGCTCGATTTTCTGCTCGTTCCTAGAATCCTAGAAGTTGTCCCTCAGTCTATACTGCAACCCTGCCTCGATGCCGTCTGTCAAAGATTCCTGTTTGCCTGTTGACCTCGCTTCCGGCTAGCTCTGTGCTGAAGTCTTTCGATCCTACCCCCGTCCGGAAAGTGTGCATTCACTGCCTCAAAAGCCAACCTCAGCGACTGTTCCTACTACGAGTACTGCGCTTTGCATCATGGGGGCCCGGCAGCCAAACAGGGCTGAGGCCTCATGCCGCGAACGATTCTTGGACTTTTTTTTGAAAATTCGATTCTAAAAAAGAAGGTTCCAATCGCTTCCCGGTATGCGTCTCGAATTGAACTTACAGCCTGGCCATGAGTAGCTCTATGGCCCTCCGATTTCCCGTCCGCCGCGAGAAGTTCAAGGCTCGGCTTCACTCCCGCTTTCCCTCCGTACGGCGGTGTGCTCGACGTGTGCCGAAAGGCTTTGTCAAGTCCTGCTGCTCCACGTAAAAGTTCTTCACCTCATCAGATGTTAGCTGGCGCTGCTCCTTGCGAAGGATCTTCAAGCCGGACTGGGCAATTCTGCGCGTAACCTGCGCCAAGAACATGCATAAATTGAATGAGAGTCCCTCCATGCCACTCTTCACTCCGTGACTCTCTTGGGCCTCGTCCAGGACGCCTAGCTTCACTGCGTCGGGCTTGATCATGGCAAAGGTCTTCTCCCGCAAGGACAAGTGCCCAGGCACCCACTTGCGGCCAGGCTTCGACCCACCATCCAACAGCTTCTTCCATGATTCGTGGCACTTCTGGATCACCTGAGACACTGCGCAGTGCATAGCAGAAGGCAGAAACCGGCAGGTGCGATGCGCCATGATGCACCCTTGCCTTGAGGGCCTCTGCTTGTCCGAAGGCCTTCTCTTTGTAGGCGAACTTGTTCGGGGCTTTGTCGTCCGGAGTCTTGTACCACCTGAACCACTCGCGAATGCCACTAACGACTCCTGGCAACTTGAGCTCCACGTCTGTGATGTCATTCAACTCGGCAGCCAAAGGGTCCTCCGTCAAGGTATGAAGCTCGAGCTGATGCTGTGGCTCCAGGCATGCATGTGTTGTTTGCATGCTCCAAGCAGTAACGCACAGATTGTCTTAGCGTGCCACAAACCCGTATCCCCAACGGACGCGAAAAAATTGTCCGACAGAGCCAGGCATTTTCTTCGTCTATTCTTGCGGATGGCGGCTGTTGATTGCTCTCCAATCGTTTCTTCTTTCCGATAGTTCGCTTGTGCTTCAATTCTTCCCCCTTTGTGTCTTTCGCTGAGGGCTGGGGCCTCTGTTTGTTTCAATCTCTTGTTCTGCATGCCTCTCTCACAGCCACCTGTTGCACTTATTCTTGGGACGTTCGTTTATAGGTTGTGTCTGCTGTCGAGCGGGAAGTACGTTTCTGTTTGATGCAGGTGGCGCTTCTGATGCACTGTGATGCATTCGTGCTTTATCGGTGCTTTCTTCCTTGGTAGCTTACCCTCGGCATTGGCGGCCTCAACATTGATTGCAATGATCTTCCAGTCGAGGTCGTGCTCGTCGATTTGTGCCAGAGCACCTAGCGGCTTGACCTTGCTGATGCTTCCCAGGCCCAGTTGCCGGGAACCAATTTCCACTACATCCAATGGATCACCGTCCCCTGTGAAACCCTCGTCATCATCCATCTCGTCATTATCATCTTCCCAAGTGCGTGGCAGCATGCCGTAGTTCCAGAACATGGGGCCAGCATAGTGCCGTGGCTTGCCCTTCTTCGTGTCCTGCATGATTGGGTTTCCCTCCAATTCAAGCTGCACCTCAAACTTCGCAGTTGTCATCTTCGGAATCTCAGTGACGAAGTAGAACTGGCCTTGCCCTGCATTGAGTGGGAAATCATGCCACGGTGAAACGGACTTGATCTTCTCAATCTCTGCTTTCTGGGCCGGCGTCTGCGTCATGCCAGCAGTGCTTTGAGCCTTCTCGGTTTGAGGGGTTTGGCGTTTGAAGCTGAGCTGGAAATCCTTTGTGCCAGGATCTCCTTTCATGAAAGTGACGTAGCTTTCCTCGGCCTTGCATGTCTTGACGGGGGCTTTTACCTCTGCCGGAGACTGCAAGCTCGGGGCGGGTGAGTGCGGCACCTCCATGTTCACGAAACCGTGGGTTTTGGCGCTTTTGCTGGCCGAGGCTGCATGGCTGCGCCACTGGTCATGCTGTCTCTTGATTACCTCCATGGCCTTCTCCTTTGCCATGACCTGCTCAACCTTACACAAAGGCTGTCCCTGTGCAACGAGGTGCCAACGAAACCACTCGCGAATACCACTGATCACACCCTTGCACTTGGCCTCAACATCCTTGATGTCATGCAGCTGTTTTGCGAGCGGGTCGTCAAGACAAATGGCGATGACTTTCCAATGAACCATGTTCTGAAAGCTCACCGGCAGCAAACCCAGCGGCTTTACTTCTTTGACCATTCCTTGCACAATGGAGGCGTTGCCGATCTCGATGACTTCCATCGGCCGGTCGTTGCCACAAAACTTGGAAGTTGGATCGCTGGTGGCCGGGTTCCCCCAGGTCTGTGGCAGGATGCCGATGTTCCAGTAAATTGGTCCGTCGAAAAAGGCCAGCTTCCCGCCTTGCACCACCTGCTTTATTGGATTCCCGGTGCCGGACGAAACACGAGCGATGGCACTAGAGTTTTTCGGTATCTCGAAGACTGCATTGAGGGCATTCGAGAAAAGGGGGATGTTATGCCATGGCGAGATCGGCTTGCCATCAGAGGTGAAGGCAAGCTCAGGCACTCCAGCCGCTTTGCGAGTTTTCGCTTCCACATGAAGCTGTTGCGCATGTGCCATGACCGCATAGCTTTTCAACATTGGGGGCAGCTGCTTGAGGAGGGGATCCACAGGGGCTCGTGGACGTGGAGCCTTCATCAAAGTGAAATCTTCTGCCACCGTGAAGGCTTCGCTGCGAAGAACTGCAAGCTGTGCATTCGTCTTCACTGGAAGAAACCGATCTGACGGAACTACGACTGCCTTGGCATCTGGGAACAAAGAGATTGCAGCACCCATCGCGGTTTCCACTTGTACCACCGTGGAACCTGCACCGGGCTTCGGTTCACTGAACTGCGGGATAGGTGACACGACGTCATCCTTGCCCGTCGGGTCCAACTTCTTCTCGTTGGCAATCAGTGGCAGCTTGAAGAGCCCGTCCTTCGTCAGGGCATTGCGCAGCTGCTCCAAATTCAGCCAAATGTTGTTGGTATTGAAGTAGCGATGCCTGGAGATGTTCTCAAAGGCCTTCTCATCTTGCTTGTGGACTTGGGCACTCTCGCGGAGTGTGAACTTGCCGTCGGTCGTTCTGGCCAAGTGGCCTCCTTTCTTGTCCTCTTCACCGCGGACGCAGACCTGCCATCTTCAGCTTGAACATGCATACAACACGAGCACCCAACTACTTAGATAATCTTGAGTGATGCGGCTACACATGTTCCACCTCCATAAGCATGGGGGCTCCCGAACTGGCCAAATGTCCCAGAAGACGCATGTTGACAGAAGCTCCCAAGTTGTCACAGTTGGCGACGAACATATACCTTAACTGCAAGTTCCCTTTGTGCGTGGCCAAACAAAGCAGTGAGATAGCGAAGCAAGCGATTCTCGCCTTGGTTGCTGCTTGGTGGCTTGTATCCTTCCTTAAGAAGCTGATCCAAAGTTCCCGAGAGGAGCAAAGCGGCATAGATGTCTCCGTGTCCGGGTGGGCACCATTCACAATTGGGCTTCTTCGGGTACTTGGCCGGTGCCATGGACTCAGTGACTTTCGGAGCCATGTACTGCTTCAAGGAAACAGCCTCCCACTTGGAATGGAAAGTCGGATATTTTTTCATGAACTCCTTCGTGTCTGCCTCAGTGGAGAAAGAATTGAAGAGCATGAAGCGTAAAGGCTGCTTCTCCTGGATCTGCATAACCTGCTTCACGATGAGATCCATAAACGTATGGTTCTCCTTCACCTTCAGCAGGCTTTTCGCCTTGTCCAGGCCCATGGTCGTGCCCAGCCCACCATTGAGGCGCATTACCACGGTTTTCGATAGGAGGGCTTCATCGCCAAGGGGTAGGCCGCTCAAGTCAGGCAACGAACTCACAGGCAAGATGTTCTTTTCCAGAACGACGCCTTTCTTACCTTGACAAAGCTCCTCAAAGAGCCCCAACCACCAGGTGATAAATTGGGATGGCAACTTTTTGGCCAGCATTTTCTCTTTGAAAGAGCTGCCGAGCAGCTTTGGCAAGGGAGTCAACATCATCGTCGCATCAAGCAAAGGTTTTGTGATCTCCAATGCGCTTGCATCCAGCTGGCCCTGCGGCGATTCGTATTTCTCCAGGTAAACGCGCATGGAGGCCTTACCGCTGGAGCCTGTCCCGCTCAGGCGTACCACCACTCGGGCATCTCCAGAAAGCTTTAGGACGACACCCTCCCCTGTAGTCACGGACCCATCCACCGGATCAGTGTAGACAAAGTCCTCCACACTTTGCACACGCATCTCCTTTACTTCTTTGCCAACCTCAGATTTGCATTCAATGTGCCACATCAAGTCTGATCTTGGATTTGGTGAAGACTCGCAACTGCACAAATTGCCTCCGAAGTCACCATTTTGGCTCCTTCTTGCACAATCTTCTTCATGGTAGAATCGGCTTCATCTTTATCAAGGCCATCAAAGTCATATCGCCAGTAGTAGTGGCGGCCGAACTCCTTGAAGTGCTCCCTGCACCTCTAGTTCAATTAGAGGGCACCCCCAACCAAGTAAAGTCAACTGCCAGCGTTTTGTCAGGGCACAAGTCTCGAACGCCGACCAAAGGCTTTGTTGGGTCTGTGTTCTTGCTCGCCAGTATCTGCAACCATGCCATAGCAGCCCACATCCCGTCCTTCTCACGAACGTGGTTGCTGCTGGTCCCGTAGGACTCTTCGCCTGGAAGGCGAACTTGGAAACGATAAGAATGATGTCACACGCAACCAGAAAGACAACAATCAATATGATGCACCCAAGAGGCCACAAATGAATGGTGTGTACGTCTTCCCGGGAAGCTTTGTACCTGACTCCATCAGATTGCCGAAATTCTTCCAGCCGGTTGGTGTCACGAAGCAGGGAATGTTGTACTTCTTGGCAACACGGTCCACAGCACCTGTGGTCGGCAAGGAGCGTGCGCAGCCTTTTACTCCACCTCGGAAGAATGGAATGCACTGCGCATGCTGAAGGATGATGGCCAGGCTGTCGCCGGGGCTGACAAAGCAATTCTTGCCCAATATGATATTGCGATCAGCATCACCATCAGCTCCCGCACCGAAGCCTCAGCTAAGCACGAGCGCCTTTTACCCTGCAGTAATTACGCGTAGCTCTGATTGTAGCAAGCGGCTCGCCGCGGGGAACTGGTCATAAGCCAAGCGCATGCCCTCTTTGTTGACCGCCAGTTTGGCCATGAGCTCCAACGAATGGCTAAGATTCGGATCTGCGTGGCCCTTCTGTGGAGAACTCTTTCCTCCAAAATCCTCCTTGGGCGTGGCGTTCATGAGGCACGATGCCTTCGCACCAAGCTCGTCACAAAACACACGCTTGGCGTAAGGACCCTGTACCCCATGCATGCAGTCGTAAAAGAACGTAAAGTCTGTGCGATGGACGAGCTTCTTGATAGCCTGTGACGGGTCAGAGTTTTAAAGCGGTCACGATATGCGATGGGCACCAAACATTCACATTTTGTCGGAAGGCCTCGAAATCAAAGACCGTTTTCAAGAGTGTCACATGGTCGTCGACAGGATTGAAAACCTCGACTCGTGCTCCACCGATCGTCGTGACCCCGCATTTAGAAAAGTCAACCTTGGGAATGGTGCAGGTTTTGTACTCGGAAATGCTCTGCGAGACTTTGTAGATCTTGTCCGTGATTTTGGGTGGGGCTGGCTCGCCATTTTCGCAATTGAACTTGATGCCGAAGTCCCCGTCCACGCCCGCAGGGTTGTGCGAAGCCGTCAAGACAAATCCACCAAAGGGAACGAAGCCACCTTTGCGTGTGCGGATGACAGCACTCATGGCCGGGGTGCTCAGCAGCCCGTCCTGCCCAACCCAGATCTCAGAGACGCCGTTGGCAAGGGCCATGGCCAAGACAACCTGCAGAGAGTACTTGTTGAAGTATCGGCCATCACCACCAAGAACCATAACGCCACCCTGCACCTTGCAGCCACTGCTTACCAGGGCATCGAAGGTGCTCTGCACATAATTCTCCAAATAATTCTTGCCCTGGAAGACCTTCACCGTCTTACGCAAGCCAGAGGTTCCAGGCTTCTGGCCTGCGATCGGGGAAGTTGGCACTCGCTTCACCGAAAGGCGCTCCATGTTGCTCCGCGCGATGGGGACCAGAGTTCTAGCCAAAAACTTGCCGGAGTGTTCAACATCAAACACGCTCTTGCACGACCTGCAGCAGTCTCACATGTCGATGGTTGCTTTGCGTGACTGGCTGACTCCAGCTCGGGCGATCTTCCGACAAAAACAAATCCGAAGAGCATCCGCGTGGTGCATGCTTGCCAGCTTTCTGGCAACTTTGCTGCCTGGTCATCCCAGCTTGTGTCAGACTTCTTCCAACTGCGGACCTTTATGACTCTATGTGCTCCTGCGAATTCGTGACAACATTGATTGTTCGGGGCGATCTTTTGCTGTGCCGTCGGGTGGAATTTGCAGAAGGCGCACCCACCCAAACCTGCCCAAGGTCAGTATTCGTGATGCTCCCGGAATCATCCGAGCAATTCAAGACTCGGCCTTGTCCGAATCAGATTCACCAGCATGAATATCGGGGTGCTGGTTTAGCATGCTCTTGTTGTCCTCTGCATCGTGCCCTTAACCCGTGCAACCAGCTTTCTAAGAGAAAGCGAGACTGGCGTAACGAGAACAGCTGCAGGCGAAGGCACCTGCTCAATCAAGCCTTTTCTTCTTCCAGATTTCGTGAAACGTTGGAAGGCTGCAGAGCCCGCTTAACTACCAACGCCGGGCTGAGCATCGCAGAAGACCTGCCGCAGCGAAAAGAAACTCAGAAAAGCGGCTCATAATGAAAAATCCCACTCCAACAGTGCTCCGACAAAGTATCGCGGGCAGCTTGGAGTCTCTCACGGCCTTCAGCTCTTCACAGTGCTGGATGAGACCCTGCACCTTCGTTCGGGCGTCATTTGCCACCTGAACTTCTGCGCATTGTCTCGAGGCAGCCGCTTTGGAGTCTTCCTCCGTTTTGAAAAGGCCAACTGCCTGCACATCCGCAGGTCACTGTGCAGATCACAAGAAGCGACCCACCGGTGACTTACGCTCTGCCAAAACATCGCACATTCAGCAAGACTCAGTCAGATGGTCAGCGGAGGTTGCTGTTGATGCCACAGGGTAGCCGTCTCAAGCATGACATGACATGGCCTGACATCAACTGGGCTACGAGTAAGGACTGGCCTTTCACTTTCGTTCGGAGCGGTCTTCCCAGCACGCTTTGGTTGCTCAGGTCTTCAATAGAAGGGCTCAAATGCTCAATGCAGGAATCTTAATAATGATGAAAGGCCACCTTGCACACCAACCAGCTAGGCAACGCACATGCCACGCATGTGGAAAATGATCATGATCGCAGCAAGCAGCTGCAGTCATTTGCACCCTACTCCCAGCGTGGCCTTGCCCAAAAGCTGTGATGCTCGTTGATATTCCTTGGCACTGCCCGGCAAATCTTCCGCCGTGTGACATTACTTCAAAGCACGCACATCGTTAAAATACAGACCGGGATGTCATTGAGAGCATTGCTTCAGCGAAGGCAGCAAATTCGCCAGCCACCTTGCCCCCAACGCATGACATGCAACGGTCTACCCCCAGGCTGGTGTCGACGATGCAGTAGCAACCGTCCAACTCAGAATTGGCTTGCACCTGGCACGGCTTCTTTTTCTGCTGGCCGCAGATCGAAAACTTCAATTAAAGACAGCCGTGCGCACTCGGGGGCTCTAGCTGATGAGACCGGCTGAAGGCCGCGGTGCGAAATATGGGTCCAGTCAGACGCAAAGTGTGGAACGAGCATTCGTCATTCTGCAAGGCTTCCGGCTGCTCCTAGAACAACAGTTACACCCATATCGTGCATGTTGTGAAACCTGCTTCAAAAGGGTCTTCCGCCAGGGCATCTTGCACCACTGCGCAGGTAAGAGCGTGCTGCACGGGCATCACTCCCATGAATAGGCACTCAGCAACAGAGCAGCTCCGCCGGCCAGCAAGCCCCAGATGATGACGCCCTGCCAAGGAGGTTCTCTGTCTCTGCAGCTCGGCTGTTCTGCATGTGGATGAAACAAGTCTCCGCGCCAGGCCAAGCCTTCTGGCCAGATGTCCATGTGTTGAAGCCAACACCATAATCCTGGTTTTCGGCGAAGCCTGCCACCTCAATGCATTGCCACATGCATGACCATGGATGTTCTGTGAGCCTCTTGTCCACACAATTATGAAAATTCCAACGTCTGTCGCTTTCCTATGCCTGCGGTCGAGAAAAGTAATCCGAAGGGTTCGAATCCAGCGGGGCTTCCGGGGCGTTTCAACGAGGTTTCTACTGACTTGTGTGTGTGTGTGGCATGTCGCCACTTGCAACAAAATCCGTCGTGAAAAATACGGTCATCACGCACGATTCTTCACGATGTGGCCATTGGCAAGCAGGTATCACCAGCAAGGAATCAACATAAGCAGCTCTTCGGCACGGCAGCCACGTAGAGCTCCGTAGCTCCGTGGAGAGCTCTTACACTTAGAAATCTGCAGCCCAAACATTTTTTCTGACGACTGTGGGATGCTAAAGTTGTTCCGAAGGGGACTTTGGCACACATTCTTGTAGAAGTGCGTTCAGCTGTCGAGGCAGCCAAGACATGAGAACGAGGATAAAGTTCTTGCTTGGCAGAAGAGGAACAACAGCGGGATGAATCTGCTCCACAGGTGGGTGCAAAGGCACCGGGCTTCCGTTTCATCTTATCGCGCTTGCAACGGCCCTGCCAAGCTAAAGGCTTTGCCGCACCCGTCGGATCCGGATACATACACAACAACAGGATGTTCGAGACGGTGGAGTAATGAAGTCCGTGCTGCAATCTAGTCTATTCACTCTGTTCTGTCTGAAGAAACCGCTTTGTCACAGAATCCTGCAGCGACAAATCTTTCAGCCTTGCAGACCTATGTTTACACATCCAACAATACAGCAAGAACCGCACTCCCTCTTCTGGCACACAAGGCCAGTCCGATGTGCCCGCATGCAGGCCTCCTCTATGACGGCCTGAAACTCATCCTTCGACCTGTGGCTTTCGACATTCCATCAATTAGTTGGACTCTCGCAGCTAGGGCAACGCAGGCGAGGCTGGTCCATGGTTCGAAGGCAGGCGCATGTGGCCCCGGTCCCGGGTCTGTGTTAGACAGAGCGAAGGCTTCACTGTTCCTACAAAACCTGAAAAGAGACATGGTAAGACTGCAGCACTTGGCACTGTGGACATCGCCAGCTGCTGGGCAAGTCCTGCACGCCGGACATGCAAAGGACGGTTGCAGATTCGCTTCTGCATAAAGTGCTCTTCATTTCTATCAAACTTATGAGGAGGTTCTAAGCCTATGCACCAGAAGCTTGAAGCACAACGTGTGATGAAAGCCTGGAAAGGCTCGGGGATCCTCGAACTTTGTTCCTGGGCCGTAGTTGCCTTCACCGAAGAGAGGGTTGTACTCATATCCGCCTCAGAAAACGCAGGGATGCGTCGGGATGCGTAGATCTTCGGCTGAAGGGTTGCAATGTGTTGGATTTTCTAGCAAGAACAGTGGCAGTGACCGCATGACATCGTCGCTCAAGCTGCTGTCCATGCATGTCCTAGTCAGGCCCCGCGCAGTTCTGGCAGTCGTATCGTCCGGTTTCTCTGGTCATGAAGACTTCAGCCTGATTTCACAGGCGACTGGGTCAACTGTCAGCATCTGGGCTCGGAAGGTTATTGTCTAAGTGCCTGTGATGGAGCTCTGACTTCATCTGCTTTTCAAGCACTCCGGACAGTGTAGCTTCAAACGAGGGCGCACGTCGCGCTCCGTCGAAGCAGGGTGACATGCCACTTCCGTGAGAAGTCGGCAGATGTCGGAGAGCCAATCCTGCTCACAGAGAGACTCCTTGCCATCTCAGGCCATGGAACAAGATGGCTCTGCCTCTCTGTTTGGGCAGCACACCCTGCTTCGTCTTTGGTTCAAGCTGTGCGGAGAGCCGTGCATTATTGCATGCTCGATGTTTGTGTTCGGCAAGTTCTGTGCTGTGCTCTTCTCTCCAACATTTTGCAAGGCATGCTTGCAGCAGGACTGGCACAGCAGAACCAGTGGTGCCGGGATGCACACGGAGTCATGACGTTATGAAGACTGGCATACTACTGGCATGCTCTGGTCTGGTGGCAGAGCTCCGGAAGAGATCGAGCCCATGATGAGCACGTCTTCGGCAGTGGCGACGGAGAATTACAGTTGTCGGAGGCATTCGGAGGCTGAAGAATGTCTGATGCTTTTGGCACCAGCCAATGCCGAAGGGTTGTCTGCACTACTGGAGATGCCTTGCAGTGCATGGAGAAAAGTTGAGGCGACGTCCCGGCACCTTCAACCAAGCATGGCCAGACTATTACTGTGCTCTCTGTTGGGAGGGTGGAGAAGGACTTCGTGTTAAGCCCATCCGGCCTATACCAGCATGTACTCGGGGCAGGGGCTGATGTTAGCCTGTTCCATCCCTGGGAGGGAAGGAACTCTGGACAAGGGAGCGGGGGCGAACTGATCCTGAAGAGTCGAACCTTAACTCCCTACTCACCGCAGCGGGCCCGCGTCTCCGCTTTCTGGGCTAAATAAGGGCAACCTTGGTCGATGCCAACTGAGCATCAACAGCTGAAGCTGGCACCTCCGGAGGTGCAAGCTCTGCTTTCTCCTCCTCCTCTGCCTCGCGACACATACAAGCTACAGCATCAAGTCGACGGATCATGGAGCACCTCCATCACTGAAACTCCCATTGGAGCATCATACCTTGCAGCGAGTGGTGTCACTCTTCTGTTGCACCCAGTTGTCTTGCAACTTTGGCAGCGATACTCGCCGAAGTCGAACTCTCCGGAATCGTCGTCCTTGTGACGACAGCTCCATCAACGAGTAAGGGCCGGAAGCAGCGAAACTTGGAGTTGATGACGAATTGAAGCCCTTTTCCTCTGCTGCCCGACCGACACCGATGTGCCTGGAGGTGGGCACCACGCCCTGCAGCAAGATTGTGCTGCTCGCAGACTCGTGAAAAAATGACGCAAACATCCCCCCAGCCCTCAACCTGGCCTGAATTTCTGACCACTGGGCCTAGTACCGTCGTCGTCGTGCGATCGCTAGCATCCACCAATGTGCAGGAGGGTTCATGTCTTGTTCAACGGGCAATACCAAAGAAAGCAATCAGTTTCACGTATCCACTAAGAAAACAATCGGGAAAGCTCTTCCTTCCCGCTTAGGGAGAAAAGTAACTCTCTTCTAGTTCAAAGTGGGGAAAAGTAGCTGGCTTTTCTTGTGATCTTAAGCAAGAGAGCTGCTGCGTGTTTCTGTGGCAGAACGAAGCTTTCCAATGTCTTACAAGAACTGAGGCGCTGTGCATAACAGTGTTCCGCGAGTTGCACATCTGTTTGGGCAACTATTTTGGACAACTATTTAGCGGCAACGCCACACAACACCACCATTTATTCTGAAACACACCCAATTGTATACACATATTATTCGGCAGGAACAGAAGCATGTGTCCTTCCAAATTCTTCCCAAGACAGCAATGCAGTAAATTTAAGCTTGTAGCCATGCAGAAGCAATACTTGCTAGTGACTCTGAGCATGTCTTCTTGAAGACGCGTGCGTAGCAGACAAGTAAGGAAGTGGTACGTACATCATGACAGTGCAGGAACCACTCAGCAAAGTCCAAGGGGCAGGCCGCTATGCTGAAAATTGTATACAATAGCACGCGAGTGCATGCATTCTAATTGCTAAGCTCAAGATTCGACACGACACCTTCCCAATTAGAGTCTCTGCCGCTGCGTATTGACGCCGGTGCCTCCCTGTGAGCCTCACCCTTTACAGTTCTCGAGGTTTCCCTTCCAACATCTCCTCTTCTTGCCTCCACCTCCTTTTGGGGCCCTGGGTTTCCATGCCACCATTCGTTGTCGTGCGTAAGGCTCGCCAAGCAGCTCCTTATTCGGGCTCCCAGGCTTCTGATCGAATATCTCCTTTGCGACTCTCACAGCTTAGGCTTTCAATTTCGAGTGCGTCTCTGTCTCGACTCTCACAACTTCGCGGACCAGTTGAGGATAATTGTCGCACAGATGTCTCCACAAAGCACGTGGCATATGACGAGCTTCTGCACACAAGTGGCGGGAAGGTCAACCACCCCAGTCAGCCTCATGAGCCCATACCCAACATACCGTCCAGACCGCCATCCCGTCCGCCAATGAGTGAGGTCAAAACCAACCACCAACACATTGTCACCTGCATTGCCATCAACCTGTATAGAGCAAGCGACCTGCAACGACCCGCATGAAAGAGTAACAGGGTTTGGTTTCTGTGGATCGGTTATATCCAACTCCAAGTCTGAATGTCCTGTGTCTCACAGGAAGCGACAACTATGGCAGAATGATGCACGACGGCCAGCAAGCTGAAACAGCGGAAGGATGCAGCAGAACTACCGTTGGAGTAAGCTCGAACGACTCAGGCACAAAAACATGGTGCATCCAGCCTGAACCCACGCGCCGGAGTGCCATGTCAGCTGCCTGAGTGCAACTTCCGCTTCAGCCCAGACCACGGCCATTCGGATTCCCCCAGGGGCTCCGGGCCAGGCTCCTGCGAGCAGCAATGCCTCAACGAACCAGGGACTGACGCGTCGATCGCGCGAACAGATCAGGCCAGGCCACCCCAGGTACGACGCGTGAAAGGCTCCGAGCAGCAGCGCTGTTCCTTCCGCTTCCGAAGCATGCAGAACCTATTCGTCTGATTCTGTGATTGTGGCCAATGTGACCAATGTGCCCCTCCGGAAGAGCCTGGAAGGTCGGGCCATGTGGACGTCCCACGCAGTTCTCCCTATACCCTAGCTTCTCCTTGAGCTGAAAACTTGCTTCAGACGCCCGCAGACGTGCAATTACACGGTCCCAATCACAAACGACCAATCAGGCAATTGAAACATCACCACTCTGGCTCCAACATGACTGCACCTTGTAGTAGGCGCCAGCATTCGCATCTTGCTTCATTTCATGAACCCGTTCCAAAGCCAGGTCAACCTCGCAACACGGCATGGTCAGGGTGGTGCAAGATTTCGAGTTTCACAGGAAGTGAAGCAAGCCAGGGCGGCGGTGGGCAAATAGGTGCGGAAGCTGGCACGGTTCAGAGGCTGCCCAAGCTTGACCAAGTCCATGTGAGCACCAAATAGATGGTTGTGGACCTGCAGACTTACAGCAACCATCACGCAGTTCAAAATCAAACTGATTTGAGTCTCTGGACCACTGATTCTACAGATAGTCGGACCGAGAAGCAATGGAAGTCACAGCAGCTACCAAAAACAACCATGCAACTGTCAGTATATAAATCATTGCATGACTTTTCTCAAAGGCTGGGCGTGGCAAGGTCGGGCAGCTTAGATGCTGTGCGCGGAGCAACTCGGTCTAGAACAAGTGACTGTGACCAGCAACGTGCTTAAATTGGTTACTACCATTAATTAAAGAGCTGCGAGTAGTTGCTGACCACTGGACGGTTCCAGTTCCTTCCGCCCAGTGTCATCACACGTAGCCTCCATGACCCCAAGGAGGTCAAACGCATCCTTCTGAGCCTCGCAACTACGCATTAAACTGATGTCGCTGATGCGAGCCATGCCCTTTGGGCCTCAATCTGGTACGACCGCGCAAAACTTGCAATGGCTTCTGGAATCCGCCCCCTGGTGAAAGGCTATGGATGTTTGCGACATTCTGCGACTGTTCCTATGATTCTGCAGATTGTGAACGGAGGCCTGCGCTTCTGTGCTTCCCCAAGCCCACGCAATGCTGATGCAGTCAACGGGCTGTCGTCACCACAAGTGACCTCAATCTCGCACCAAGGCTTCAGTTCTCATTACAGCACGACAGCACGGAAGGCGACCTCAAACAAAGCGACGTTTTCTTCTTCACGGATGATGGCTTCATCCTTGCTCAGTGATGCTCGCGGCATCTCACACTGCTTTGAGATTCGAGCTCATGACTGACAAAACACGGAGGTGCAATGCAGTGAAGGCTTGCCGGCACAACTACCACACCCGGAAAGTACTGTCCGAAAGTCGGGATGCAATACAGCTAGCATACCTTTGTTATTTTAGCGAGACAAGAGCTGCATCCCACAGCTCTCGTGTTGAAGCTACAAGTAAGCTATGCCAGGGCCTATGCTACTCCTGTAGGTTATGTTTCGCAACATTTGCATGTTGCATGTGTTCGTGTGTTTGGAAGCTCCCAGCTGTCCCGTGAGCTCCCCTCATTTTGTTTGCATGATGTGGGCCTTCGAAATGCTCATCTCGATCGCAAAAGAGCAACATCAAAAACAAAAAACGCGCCACTGCCTGTGCACCGAGCGCACCTCCATTTCCTGTTTTTTCATTTCGTCGGTCTCCTCTGGCTCAAGTGCCCAATGACTGACAATGCCCGTGCAAGAATGCGTCCACGCTTGCATTGACAGTATCACGTTCCTGTGGGGCGTAGGCTTCACACCTGCTGATGTTTCGTGAACAGATAGAACTTCAAGCAGCTCCTCCTAAACAGGTCTGTCTCCTGCAAGGCCAGCTTCAGCAGGATCTTTGCAATGGACATTCCGGCTTTAGCAACCAGTGAAGAGGGCCTCAGTCACAATGCCAATGAAAGTCAGAAGTGCAACTGCACGATGCAGCCCTGGGCTGCTGCTTGTCGCCTGCCCGCTGCCGGAACAGATCCTAAGTCTGGAGCAAGGCTGAAGCCCGAGCGCACGCTTCCCCCTGGCCTGTGATTGCCTCACGGAGGAAAGGGCCTGCAAGACATGTGCTGTTGTTGCTGGACCTCAGAAACAGATGGTGCCCCGTCTGCAGGTCCTGTTCAAACCGGCCCAAGCGGTCCTCGATCAACCCAAGGCCGAGCAGGATGCCTGCCACGAGAGATTTCGAGCCCCAGCCTACCGTCCTACCCAGACCGAGCCATATTGAACCAGCTGTGCTTCACGAGGCTGACTCAAGAAACGTTTGCCGGCTTGCCCAATACTGGATGCGCTAACCGTCACTGCAGCAGCCTTTGAGATGGAGTATTTACTAAGTCGGAATCCACACCAGAGCCCAACACCCCCAAAGTTTTTGTGGAAAGCCGACCAGCGCAGCAGGATTGATGAAAGCAGCTGCCGGGGATAGTTGCGACTAAGCGTGAACTGCAAGTTTAGGGCCCAGCTGATCGTTTCCGAGTTCATGCCTTCCACAGCACTCTTCTGCAATTGCACTTGGCTTTTGATACATCGGGAGAATGAGGTCGGGTTACCTCGCGCTTGCTGTCTGTACGACATCCGGAAAGCCCGATTTGAGAACATGCTCGGACTTGCAGTGGCGCACATGCTCTAAAGCCCTCCGTCGTTTCCCAAGGGCTGGAGCCACGGCCGTTCGCATCGACTCAGCGTCTCACACAGAGACTGCAAGTCCTTCCTTCCACCCACTGTGCCGAGAAAGTACGTTTCCAAGGAATTAACCGTCTGTCCCGATCATGTCTGTTGTAATTTATGAGCTGTCTTGTCTTCCTGGGCTTCTTGATGTTCGTGTCCAACCATACCACATTGATCTGTGTTCTGTTAGTTTCGTCACCGCGGGTTTTGCACATCATTGCTGTCTGCGTGTTTTTGGATTTGATGGTTGTCGTGACAGCTCTTCCGCGATCTCTTGGACATGCAGAAGCTGAAGCTTTTCGGACCACCGCCTTGCTGCAATGGCAAATGCCAAAGACAAATCTCGAGGGCAGGAGTCGAAATTCCGCAATCGATTTCGCCTGCTCGGTCGCCTGTCCTCTTGCCCATCTCCTCCTCTTTGTCCAGGCACAGCAGAGCTCGCGTGAAGTATTCCGACGCCTGTCAGAGATGACTGATCAAACTTGCAGAAGTGCCTCCAAGCTGCCTTGTCAAAGTTGCCCATGGAGCTGTAAGTGTGGCCCATGTTTTCGCACAAGGCTGCACTGCAGCCTACGAGATCCTCGCACTGCAAACTCTGCTTCGGTTCGTCGACCACATGTTAGGGAGAGATTGAAGTACAAGCTGAAGCTAGGTCGATGAGCATGCCTCAGATTCTGGGAAGAGGGCGGGCAGGATGAAACCTCAAGGTAGGATACGGAACGGAAGAGGTCTACCTTAGCGTCATTCAGCGATGGGTTTGAACAGAATACTCCGTGGTGCTTACCTGCACTCATAGAAGAGTGCTGGCCAAAGTGGCCAAATTCAGTTAAGGGCTCTTTGCACCCACAGTCTCTTAGTTCTGCTTCGTGTGCCGTGCAGTTTGTCCCCCATCTGAAAGATGTCCTCAATTTCGTGAAAGAGCTTGACTGCATCGTTGAACTGCGACTTCTTCCATAAGGTGAACGCCAAAGCCTGCAAACAATTGCCATTAGCGCTTAACACACGTAGTCCTGACACATTGCAGCAAGAAATCAGCCCAACCATGCCGGAAGCGCCTGAACACCTTTCACGTGAAAGTCGCCTGTGCTAGTGGTTGGTGCATCGCTCATCGCAGAATCACAGCTCCTGAACCTAAGCAGCTTCAATGCCTGCGTTGCACGGATCAGCACAAACGGGGGAGGCCTCCTCTGCTGCGGCATATGGGCACAATTTCCGGAAGCACCTGGTTTGCTTCCAAAAGATCGGAAGCAGCCCCCCTGTCGTGGAGCACAAGCGTTCCGCAGCGGGTTTCGCTCAAGCCAGTTCTTCAAACGATCCGACGGCTCACGGTTGTTAAATATGGCAAGTAAAGAGTGCCACCCATGGAATGCCGCGGTGAGCAAGGAGCACGGGGTAACAAGTGCTGTGTGCAATCGTCGCAATCACAAGAAATCTCACGCGCAGCAGGTGCTCTCGGTGGTCTGTTGCTGGCGGTCACGACAGCCATTGAAATTTCCATGACGCCATGCATGTCCAGCTGCAGATGCCCTGTCGCCATGTTCACAGAAGCGCAGGCCCCCTCATCCCGTTGCAACGGCCGATGACACTGTATTCCCTCAGGAAGGGGCCGGCGGGGTCATGTATTGCAGACGGGATCGGGGAGTTGCTCAATGAGAGGGGGTCAAAAGCCCAGCATGGATTTTAGGCCAGGTGCCTCAATGGCCTGAAAGCTTCACGCATGCAGACCCAGCACTCCGCACGCACGCATACTTCACAACTTGCCTCCATGCACTTGTTGAGCCGATAGAGCTGGATCCACATGTCGAACAACTGCACAGGATGTCACTTATCGGTGAGTGCAGCTCCACGCAATTCCGCACACGAGTCGAATCTGATGCGAATTTGTGGATTCCTTGAAGAAAGTGTTCAAGGTCGTCTCATTGTCCAGCCCATGCTCAACTCTCTGCTCCTGGATCTCTTAAATTTCACAGGATGCGCAAATGCACCGCGTCGAGTGCTCTGTCCGCGAAGAGCTTCTCGAGTCTAGCCTCCTCCTTGAAACTCGGCCGGACTTGAAAAACAGAGTGCTAAAAGGCAGTGGCAGGCCTTGACTTGCAACTCGGCAAGTTCCTCAAGGGGTCCATCACCACCGTCGCCTTTATCCTGGTAGCGGGTGCGACTGATGACTGATGGCAGTGTCTGAATGTATCGAGCTCACGTGTTTGGCCAACACCTGCAGAGCACAACATCACGCGCCTGAGGATCAAAAGCAAGTGGGGAGCTGTGTGGCAATGGTCGGGGAAATGAAGCCAGGCATTAATTATGAGTTCTAGCCCCCACGTCGAAGTAAAGGTAGATGTGCTGTTCTACCGTTATGAGATTCAACAGAAGGGCTAGCCGGCTAACTAGCCTTTCATCCGCCCGGCCTGTACAACGTCATCCGGCTGCGACATGACTGGAGCTTATCTTCCTTTCTGTTACTGTCTCTGCCGAAGCGTGGCTGGTTTCGCCTATTGCCTGACCTGACTTGTGCACCCCCGTCAACTCTCCTTAGCCTTGCAATTTGGAAGCCTTCCATTCGGGCCAATCCCGAGAATCCAAAAACGAGTCTTCCTCAGACAAGCGCATGCAGCACTTGCATCAGCCAGCGGCGCTTCACTCAGCGTTCATGTTTCTGCTTCACGCAACTTGAGCGATCACCAATCTCTCAACACATCTGAGCTGCAACCGACTAATTTCTGGTGGATTGGCATGCTTCTCTCTATGTGTGCTGCAGATATCGGATAAAGAAGCTTTAAGACCCGAGACAGATGAAAGCTGACCAAATCACTCCGGGGACACCTATGAACGTTCGCCACAGATTAACAGTTCCAAGGTCTAGTGGCTCGAATCGTGAAAAGTTTTCCGCTTTTGCTTGGTATACTCTGAAGCACATAGGGACATGAATGGGAACCTTAGGCGGAAAGCAAGATTACCCAAGAGCTGACCGTTGACGGGGTTGGGTGCTTTATGGTCGACCTTAATGTCTTTGCACGTGCCGCTGGGGTACCGAACAATTGGAGCATTCATAAGACTGTCGAAGTAACCTTTGCGGCATGATTCAGTATGCAATGAAAATGATTGCCTGTCCTAGGGGTGTGCAGCGACTCGCTCGGGAAACAGCTGCTAGCAATTACAGTCCCCCAGTTCCAGTCGCTGTTGTCCAAACGTTTGTAACTAGTGACTAGTAACCCAGTGGTCGCAGATCAGCCTAACCTGTGATGAAGACGGCTTCGCTGTCCTTCATCTTTTTGCCTGCTTCGCAGGCCGTAATGTGAAACCTACATCCCTACCTACCCTCAAACAATCGTCGTTTGAGCTGCGCGTTCCTCAGCAGACTGGCAGGCGTAGGTAGATGCAGTTCAGTTTATGGTTAGAAGATGCACGAAGGAATGTGGGTCATTTTTCAAAGCTCCCGAGGAATCTCGTGTTCGCTCCGTCCAATGCGATATGGCGAGTTTTTCGTCCCTTAGCTTGAATGGCAAGCGCACGGGCCAATAGTATGGATTCAGCGAGATTTCGCACGAATGCCTCCCGCATTTTTGTGTGGACTGCTTTGCTGGGACACTGTAAGCTATACGGGGTTGCATTTCACGCAAAAGAGAGTTCTACGATCTTCTACGTGCGCACCACGATGCCGGTTCACGCTCTTCAAAAGCTGCCGTACTTTCACCGACAGAGGCTACAAGGACGCACAAGGACACAAGCGTCACAAATCAACTCCTGTCGTTAGCAGCCTTTCCAGAGATAAATCAGAGTTTAAGTCTGCAGACTGCGTTTGTCAAGCAGATCCGGCAGTATGCGAAACTGCTCAGAGCACGGCTTGCTGACGATCTGGCCTTGCAACTGCTCCCTCGGAGTACGAAGCTCCTTTGTGCCAAGTTGGCCCCCACTCGCAAGCTGCGTCTGCACATGCATCTGCCCAGCGGCCTCCTCCCCCACAATGCTTGTCGCGCCCGGGAAGTAAAACTCCTGACGACACAAAGCGGCGCATCATCGAAGAATGCCGCTCCAAACGCAAACGCATCATTGACAGTAGGTGTGCAGCAACTTGGTCACTTGCACATGCAGTTTTTGCCAAGTGCGTGGCGCTCTCCGGACGGGTTCAGCTGTCGGCTGACATGAAACTAATGCAATCAAGAGAACTAGTACATAACAAAACCGACAAGATCAGTCTGCCATACTGCTCTTCTTGGATTGCCAAGGCAACAAAGGGGCAATCCTCTGAGAGAACCCTATCTGCTTTACAGTCCTCTTGTTGAGTTGAGCAAAAGATGCTCTGAGTAGCATTCCTGCCCGTCAGATCTTTTCTAAGCGCAGGAAATGTCGAGCTTTACGCCAAGATTGTGCATTGCCCTGTAGCCAGACCTCCCAACCCTCAACCTGCCCCGAGACAGCAGGTTGAAACAGAAATAGCACGGCATATGTCTGACTGCGTTGTCGCAGGACCCTGAACATAATTCAAGCCTTCATGTATGAAGGGGTGTCCTCTCCTACCCACCGGTCCTGGAGTCCTGAACCGCAAGATATGAGACCCTTACCCTGCAATAAGGTCAAGAGGAGGTCAGGAAACGATCTATTGAACCTAAAACATGCATGCAGAAAATCACTGCCATCCGATCCTGATCTTTGCTCGACTGCGGAAGAAGTCCGTGCCCCATCGTGGCGCCTAGGCCGGAAGCTATTCAACCCAATCAGAGCTGCACTTCGACTGAAGGAAGACGAGGGAGGGCAGTGATGTCAAACAGTCTTGAGAACGGTGGACAAACACGCTACTTAGTTCTACATCGAAGGACACCAAGAACGATTGCAAACAAGGAAGAGCAAACCGTGACGCACTGCAGCATCAGCTCTGGACCAAGTGGTGGCTGTGGCGCGCAGTGGGGGAAGTGCGAGCCAGCGTTGATGCGGAGCTGTCATGGGATGCAATGCAGCAAGCCAATTGCTTGAAAACAAATGGCCGGTCGTCAGAAGTCAACCTGTGCTTTCAATTGCCCAGATCACCTTTGGTGACAGTTTGGTATGCATTAACACCACATGCCCGAGTCAAATTCTGCAGGTGTCACGGCTGAAGAAGCCTCATGTGAGCAATGAAACCCAAATATCCCTGACCGATTCGAGACTGCACATGCTGGCCAGCTATCCCCTGCTACCTCCTCTGCATGAGTGTCTGTATGTGCCCAATCTGCTAGTATTGTATGGTGATGTCAAGGGTTCGTAACATCTTGATCGCAGCACAATGTGCTCATTGCATGCGCAGGAAGCAAATGAAAACCCAGCAATGTCTCAAGTTCAACGAGTGTGTCAGGCCAAGTGGTGTCGGTGCTGCCCGTTCTCGGGCACTTAGGGAGTATCCCAAGGCATCTCGCTTCGGCTGAACCTGCCAGCTTCAGATTGATCGTTCCGGCAGGAGTGATGCAGTTTGGATGCATCGCGTATCTTGGAACAACTGAATGCACAGCAGCTCGGCTACTTGTAGCTTGAGAACTGTCGCAATTGTGTCTTAGGCCAGCACACGCTTCCTGGTTGATGGAGCCCTCGCCCGAGCATTTCGAATCTAGCTGCAAACGGCAGAAATCAAGCTATCCGAGAGCTTTGCGAAGGCTCCAGGGGTCGCGGTGGCGGTGCTTTCGGGGCGGCTGTCGCCCTCACCTTTAGCGGCATACAACTTATCATGAGAGCAGAGTGTCAAACGAGGTGCTAGAAACATACATGGAAATGGAAGCATCATGACAAGTGCTGCTGTGAAGCCAAACCGGATCCACCTTCAGACCGCACATTTTTGGCGGCATCAGGACCTGAAACTGATTCGATGTGAAGTTGGAGCTCGTTCACATGACAGCTTCTGTGGTTCGAGCTCGGCCCTTCAGTAGCCTCCGGCACGAGGATTTCGCAGCATCTCAAAGGGCCATCCCTCTACAAACGACCACTGCGCAGCCTGCGCGACAGGAAGTACAGCAGCGCTGTGGGCAGAATTCCTCAGACCCCAGAAGATGTGCAGTGGCCGCAGTATCATGCTGGACTACAGATATGTCTCTGTGCACCAAGGGGGTCGCGACTCTTGCGCTGTTGATGGCTGTGCGGGCGAGGTTTTGTCAGGCGTGGCACCTGACACGGTATGCTGCTCTTGGCACGGACGGTTCAACAATACTCAGAAAGTCTGCGCACCTGTCTTGCTGGGTGGTACTCTTTGGACGCCTTCCTGCACACATGAGAGTTGACAGGCTTGAATCAAGACAGCGACGCTGCTTGCACTTGCTTGGCCTCGTATTCTTTCCGGGACATGGTTCCCGGGTCAATCTTGATCTTGCGAGCACATGCGAGAAACGGCGAAGCCCGAAAGTGTTACGAACTGGTTACAAAGGGACGACATTTTGTCGCGATTCGCGAGAGCCTTCTCCCCACGCTTGGTCTTGTTTCGCTCTTCGAGTTCCACGCCCGGTGACATCACCATTGCCTCTCGCAGGCAGGGCACAAGCCGGCTCATTTCAAGCAGCAGCCCGGTGCACCAAAAGCAGATCCATCGCCTCCATCATGGATGGCTGCTGCGACAAGAACTTCTTGAAACCATCTTTGAGCTCAGTGGAATCTCTCCTGGCATCCCAGGAGGCGGACTTCGCGAAACACCTTGAATGCACCCCTGCTACTGCACCTTTTGCCCTTTGTGCTTCTGTCACCTTGAGTCGGCTGCATGACTGCAGCAAGGCGGCATGTGTGCAGCGTGTGCAGCCGTGCTTTGTGACGCTTCTCAGGCTCTAACGGGCACGAGGTACTCTCTTCTCCTCTGACTGCCGATGTTCTTGGGAGTGCTCCTCCTCCTGTGAACGGAGCTTTGTCAGCTGCACGGACTGGGCATGCATGGTGACGTCCGCATTTCCGTTTCAACCGGTACAAAAACATGTATCACGCATCCTTGCAAACGAACGTCATGGCAGGACATGGGTTTGGCAACCGATTCAGTTGCGGAGGCTGAACCTGAGCCGAAAGCTCGGTCTCACATTGACGTCACTCAGCCAGCTCGTGGCTCTGTCGAAAGATTCGGCCAAAGGCACCGCGATCATGTTCCCTTCGGAATCGTAGGTAAACTGCCTCTTCTTGTCATCCTGGTAGCGATGCATGACCAAACATGTCGGATTCAGGCGCAATTGAAACAAGTACCAGTAGTAGGCATCGCATTGATGATTTTTTTGAACTGCTTTGGGATCTTTGTACAGACATTAGCAAATCATCAAAATACAAAGCCTCCCGTGCTTCCGCAAACTTCAGACATGATCAACCGATCGCAGCAAAGCAAAACTGTTCATTTATAAATTTTTCAGTTGCAATCAAATTCTGGAAACTAAACGTTTGGAGTTGATCATTGCCAATACACTGCGTGACTTGTGCGCGTCTTTGTGCGGGTGTGTGCGTCAACCCGAAGTTCCATGGAACTTTGTGCGGTTTGTCGTGCGAAGGGGCAGTAGTAGGGGCATCGGGGCAGCTTGCATCCACTTAGGCACGGAGGTCTGGGCCTGCTAGAGAGAAGGGGTGTGTGTGTGTGTGAACTTCCCTAGCACATGAGAACGGATCGTTTTGCAAGCATTGGTTCAATCGAGCAGTTGAAAACCCAACAAAGCAGGGGACCAGGAGGGGTGGGGAGGGGTACCTGATCAACGAAGACCCCCCCAACCCCGTGAAAACGTACCTGCTTGTATCCGGCCTGGGCCCCAGCGCGGGCAGCTGGGGGATACACTCACTTTCATTTTCATCTCCATGCCATTTCATGCTGTGCCATTCCTGGTGTCTGACACAGCGAGGGCATGACCCATACATTCACGGATCATCTCACCTTGGTTTTTTCGTATGCCATTCCTTTGGTCTGGCATACATGGCACCAAAAATTCATTTCATTTTCGGTACCACCACCACCACCACCATCAACATCATTATGCTTCATTCAACAACAACCCCCCGCCCTCCTTTGATTTTCCTGACTTCTTCCCTTGCCGAAATCCAGCAGTGTGATCCAGCGTGGGTCTCGGTGACTCCAGAGCAGCGGCTTTCCGTCATGGCGCAGTGGTGGCGCTCTGGAGTAGCTGGCCAGGAGCAAAAGATTCGGACTGTTCTCTCGGGCTGTCGGGCTGTCACTCCCGTGCCCCGAGTCTATACCGGCTATCCGGAACTAATACGGGCAACTATTGCTAATACGTTGTCGGAATAAGCTTCTGACATGAGGGCAACGTGCAGTAACGATGCGTCTAACGCAAAGTCAGGAGAGCAGGACTACCTCGCTGGTCTGTCCCGTGCTGCGATGTTCTGCACTCACTGACTGCAAGGGCATGCGCACCTGACATGAGGGCATGTGCAGTAACAGGATATGCTAATGTGCCGCTTCTCCGGAAGCTTACAAATCGGCATTTCTTCTCTGCCTGCCTCTCTCCCCCCACCCAAAACGACCAACCGCAATCACACTGAAAACCCTAAGAGCCCTAGACCAATTTGAGGTCCCCAAAGGGCTCGAGACCTCTCGTCCCAGCACAGCTGGAGCGCACAGCTGGGGGGGTCAAAATAAGACTTCCTGCTGCTGCTACTGACCCCGTAGCTGGGCGGTACCTGGGCAATAGTCAATCCGTTCCTGGGTCTCCGCTGGCAGCCGGAAGGAGTGCAGTAACCCTAACTCCCCAAACCCAAATTAATACCCAATTCAATTCTGCTAGCCCTGGACGCCCTTGCTTGCAACTAGGTGGCAGTTCCCTTTTCCCGATACTGTCGCTTCTGGGGGCCGTCGTGCCCAGCAGAGTGACAGTCCCTAACCCCTCTTACAGGCTGCCTTTTGGCTTCTTTCGGAAGGGCTGGGTTCGAGAGTGGACCGCGTGAGGAGGCACGAAAGGTTGCAGTGTTCAGATGCATCCGAAGAACAGGACGGGAGTCATCATTTCTGGCCGGATTTGTGCCAGCCACTTTGAGATGACGAGTGCATCAACATACTGTGCAACCTTGCAATGCCGGGATCAAAGAAGTCGTGAAGTCCGCCAGCAATGATAAGTGGTGGGCTGTGAGGGAACCCTCGGCCAAGATTGACAAGTTTGACCTACTCCTGTTTGCTCCCGCCCTTGGAAGTTCGTTTGATCGCGTGGAAGCAGTTTTCATCAGAGCAGTCCTCTGAAGCTGAAATCAAGTCTTTTCTTAACAATCTCCCAGTTGAAGACTGGTGGTAGGTTGTAGCATGCATTAGTGTGCGTGAATCCCGATGCTCCGAGTTCCTTTTGAGCGGTGACAATGTACCATATCGACTGCATGTTCGAGCACAAACGTGGTAGCGGCTGTAGGTTCCGCTGATTGCTGCTTGCATGTTCATGTGCTGCTCTCTACGTGTTCTTGCTGTAGTCGTGGAGTTTTGCTCCGAGCGATTAGTTGTAGGCTGATGGACCGTGTTGTGATTTCTGGATGTTCTATGCGACCTCTGACTTGGCATTTTAGAGCTAGTGCTCCAATGCAGGGTGCTGTCAGTATGCAAGATTCTGGCAGCGTGATGGGTATTTCCAGCGATATGGAGCAGCCGGAGCCTATTTTTGATGTTTGTGCAAGCAGACGCATGGTATACGATTATGAGCAATTGAGTCAGCCCATTGGAGCAGCGGGGAGATGGCTTACAGAGCTTTACTTCGAGGGTGTGTAACATATGATGAGCTTCAAGCATTAGCATGCAGTGTTGCTATTCAATCGACATTTGGCCGACCTAGTTTTGGTAACCTTGCGGAGCATCTTCCATCTGTATGCATGGGTTACCCGACTAGTGACTAGTGTGCAGTAGTGCGAGGCACCAAGCACCGTCTCTGTGGTACGTACACGTCAGTGGGTCTCAATTTCAACTGTCAGTCTGTTATGCACCGTGATTCTCACAATCATTCGTTTCTTCCAAGCGCCATTATACCGAAATTATACCCACTTCTATGTATCAAGGGTGCAATTGTGGGTGGAGGACCCTTGTGGACAAATGGTGGTTGATGGTGTCCGAGGTAGAGCTAGTAGAGCCATTGAAATGGTTCTACCATGTGTCACGACTGGCAATAGACTTGTCATCGTGGTGTATCACATCAGTTGGAGAATGTCAGAGCATACGTATAGCCGTCTCACATCGTCTCACCAGTGCCGGATTCCGATCATACCCGTGCGATGCCATGTCTGATCCGCAACTGTAAAACTGGGGAGGCTACAATAAGCGGTGTTTGCCAGTTGTAAATTGCAAGCGAGTCAGCCAGTCAGCCAGCGTACTTTGCCTGAGTTGCAGGAGAGATTGAGTGTGCCTTTGCTGTAGCATTATATTTTGACCAGCGTAGAAGCCTTCTGCATTGCTGTAGTTGCCGGATTAGGCTGAGGCATGGTCACTGATTCTCGTGAACACTTCAATGACATCATTCATCGTCTCGGAGTCAATTTTCGAATGTACCACATTTTGGGCAGCCCGCAACTTTGTCAAGAGCTTCGTCGCATGCTTGCTGTCAGAGTCAGTCAAGATGGAGCAGAACTAGTGGAGTCACATTTTGGGAGGACATCGTGCAATTGAAACGGCTGCCCCAACAACGGGATGCGGATCCTGGCACCTTCCTCCGGCCCCGTTCTCTCCTGTGCCGTTTCTGGGACATTTGCCTTCAAACCTGCCCCATACCATTCCCGGTCCGGTCACCTTTGCGCGGTGCCAGGCAGACCAGGCTTTCCACCAGCTTTAGACACTTGGTACATCCACCCTCCTCCCCCTCCCCCTGCTCCCCCTCCACCTGTTGCTTCGCTGGCCCGCCTTCTGGTGATATGTCACGGGACCCCCGCAGAACTCCCTTGCCTCGGCTGCTTGGCTGGACCACGAGAGCCGAAGCGGAGAAAGTCACTGTCGTCGATGATAGAGTCCGGGAAAGTGGCAAGGATGCAAAAAGCGCCAGTGCCGGCGGCGCAGAGAATGCAGATGCAGGGAGCGCTGATCCGGGCAGGGCAATTAACCCGGCGCGACCCCTCCCCAAAGCTATGCCCAGGCATGTTCGTGATCGGTACCGTGAGCCAGCGCCTACTTTTACAGCGAGCGCACCTACATCCACAACCGCCATGGAGTCTATGCATGCTTCTATACTCCCGACAGTCATGTTATGAGCGAGTCTGCGAGGGATCTGCTGGTAGTGAGCGTGCCAATGTCAATAGTGAGCCTGGGCCCAGTGTGATTGCACCTGCTGCTACTCGGGATCATTCACGTTCCCGTTCATGTTCCCGTGATGACTCGAATGAGCTTTGGTAGAGTGCGGGATCTGTCCGAGGGAGTCTATTGTTCTTCCGTGTGAGATCTTAAACGTCTCACCGCTTCTGCACGAGAGCATGGTGTTTGTGATCTAAAAGTGGATTCATTGCCTTGACTAAGGTTTTGCGGCATGTTCTGGCATGAGCGAGCCTATACTTGCGGTGCGTGTCGTTGTATTGTGTCTGGGACCAATGCAGGGTATGTGGGAGCTGCAAGCCGTGATCGATCGGGTCATGTCTTTTCTGGTGTGTAGGCATCACACGTTGACCTTCTACGTGTCTCCTCTTCTTTACGAATATGCATATGCAGGAGTGAAAACACGAGAAGATCTTTTCAGAACAACAAATGAACCAACTGGGAATAAGCTCCACGATGGAGTTGGAGATTCAAGTACGGAGTCTGGGAGCAAATCGGAGAGGAAAAACAAGACTGCTACACCCTTTACCTTTCACCTATGAAAGTCCTGCTGTCAAGCACATGACCTTCTGTGCATCAGTGAGCCGTGAGTGGTGTGAGTCGGAGGCAAGGTGTACGTTGATTTTCTAACTCAGCAGTATCACTATGTCAGTGACTGGTTGCACAGGTTCGATGAGGACCGCTTTCGTATCAATGCTCGACCCATCTCAGATATGAGTCTTGCGCACTTCAAGAGTCCCACGCAGCAGAGAGATGTAGAGAGAGAGAGAGAGTGACCAGAACCTTGAACATTTTTCACCAATAGAACGGCGTATGCCGTAGTATGAGTGTTACGCGTTTGCCAGACCACTTTCATTGAGCATGAATGGCCATGTTCCTGAA